CAGATGTGTGAAACCTTTAGGCTTTATGTTAGCCACAGAAATTCCTTTGATATCAGGGACGCCAACAGCAGAGCGTTTTACATTTAATATATTTGCACAACTTTCTGAAATAAGTGTGGTTTGTGAGGCGCTATCCAAAACAGCACGCAAAACGAGACCGTTTCCTTTGTGAGTAGAAACTTTCACTAAAGCGGTTGCAAGCAATACAGTATTATTCTGAGTACGAGCCAAACCCATAAGAGTATTCGATTGATTGACATGATCAGGGGACTTAACATTACTTGTACAGGGATCAGTGTTTGCTTCATTCAATCTTGTTTGAGCCTGGTCAAAATGCAGGAGAGTATGATGTCGTTTTGAGCAAGTAAGACAAGTCTGTTTAGATTTACACATTTTAGGTTTGTGCATACCAAAACAGTTTACACATAAGTCTTTACTCTTAATGAAGTCAAACCTGTCTTTAGTATTAATGCCCCCAAATTTAGGACATTTGAATACTATGTGAGTAGTAGCGGAGCAATAAATACATTTAAGCATTCGATCTTTGTCGTTAGACGACAACAATACAACATTAGCCCTATTAGTTTTAGCCTTATTCGCAAAATTAGATTTGATTGGGTGGTTGCTCTTATTTTCATTTGGTGAAAATGTTTTGTTCGAAACAGAAGCTAACTCCGCAGCCTCCTCTTGTGTACATTTATTTTCCAAGAAATGAATTAATTCATTGATAGTAGGGACCTTTTTTGAGTCATTACGTGAGTGTTCAAACTTAGTGCGGAGAGCAGAATCAAATTTACGCAAAATATGCGTTGTCAAAAGCAAACTTTCATTAGCAATATCATGACCAAGAGTTTTTAAGGCCTGGTAGTTTTCATTGTAAACTGAGAGAAATTTCCGCATGTTTGACAGTAGGCCTAGTAAGTTGAGGTAAATCTAAGATATTGTTAGTATGAAGAGTGATTAGCAACCTTGTATTGTGGTATCTATCTATCAGAGATTGCCATGCTATAGCATAGTTCGCAGCGTTAAGAGGCAAAGATTTCACCAAACTCAATGGCTCATCTGAAAGACAGGATAGCAAATATGTAAATTTTTCTATGTTACTGAGTGACTCATTAGTATGAACTGCATTTTCAAATATGCTATGAAATGACATCCACTGGTCTGGTTGACCAGAGAATTTACCTAAATCCAATGAAGGCAATTTTATTGTCGGAAGTACAGCCACAGCTTGTGCTGTTGAACTAGCGGTGGACTGATTCAATTGCTCAGATACTGCAGGTGTAGGTATCAATGTGCTACATAAGCTACTAATATTTATGTACAGGTCAGATATTTTATCTTGAAGTTCGGTTACCTTTTCATCTACGATGTCTTCAGGTAGGGGAGTTGTAGAGAACAACTTATTAACAATTTTTTCAAATTCTGCATGTTTTTGAGAAGCTGCAGTTGAAAGTAACTTTATTCTATTTATTTGTTGATCATTTAAAGATTCAAGGGCTTGAACAGTACTTAATGTTGTAACTTGCTTGTCGATACTACTAAGTCTTTGTTCAATAAGTTGACTTTGCTTGACAAAAGATAAAAATCTCATTTTGGAATAGAATAGTCAAACACACAATAAAACTCAAAAGGTCTGTATAAACTCCACCTTGGAATTTATAAATTAAAGTTATTTCTTCACTAGAAATTTCAATAACTTATTTTGCAAAGTATTTGCAATATAAAATCACACTAAATTATTTACATTTTAATTTTCTTTCCAGAAGTTCCAGAAGTATCATTTAATACAATAATGATCAATCGACAATATTACTGTACAAAGCAATCAGCTGTTTTCGTGATAGATGAGAATCAATAACATTTGTAGATAATCAGAACAAGGAAAGGAAGGATAATTATTTCTGGCTACACAATGAATATCCTGGAATGCAAACAGAATACTGAGAGGGGAAGGGGGGTATGTCTGCTAGAGATAAGGCCCATGAAATGGCTGATATATAATCATGAATATTTAAAATTGGACATGAAACTAGACTTTCACTTTTGTGCATGTTTGGAAATGAAATATGAAAAATCATCAAACTTAAATATGTTTGATTTTGAAAATATATAGTACAATGTCCTATGATTTAAAAAAATCAATAAAACAACACTGGCTTATTTAATAAATGTTCACAAATTATAAAAATGTGTTTGTGATAAAATAAAAAATGTATTTCACAATGAAATTAAATCTTAACAATTCTTTAAATATTTCCAACGCACTGAGTTTATCCGTCCGGCTCGAAGTACCAAAAATGTGGGGAATTTATGTTAATTAGAAAGCAATGTGGACTGTATTATAGTAATTTTGAATTGGATACACTAACCTTTTGTTATTAAACTGATGCGTAGACTGGGGGCCCCCTTTGATGAATCCTGAAATGCTATAATGTTGATAAGTTCACTTTTTCACACTATATGATGTTAAAAAACACTTCAATTGTCTTTATAATAAGTTATAAGCCAGCGGTAAATATTTATGTTGGTAAAGAGGTTTATGGTATTTGAAAATGTAGGAGAAAAGGCATGTTAAGTCCTCATAGCAACAGGACTTGCCCAAGAGTGTGCCACTACTCTACTGAAGGAAGGAGTTGGTCATGTGATACATATCAGTGACCAATGAGAGAGCTAGTCTTGAAACCATTGGGGTTTGAAGATACTGATGCACTCTATGAGGAAAACATTTAACTATTTGAAATGGTATTTAAATGGAGATTGTGGTGAAATCAGTTACATATTATTAGAGTGCATTAAAATTAAAAATTAATATAAGAATACTTAGAACAAAACAGTATATATATTTGACACAGAGTACAAGTCGGAGGAGTAGGGGGGGCCAGATTGGTAGACAAGGGTGGTAGGGGAGCATCATCTTGAACCCCTCCACACTGTACACTTCCCAGGGCTAGAACCTTGGTGAACGCTGATCCTTCAGAGACAAACCTGGACAACAACATAACATGTACCATCTGTTTGGTCTCTCCGCTAGACAGAGTACGAGTCGGAGGAGTAGGGGGGGCCAGATTGGTAGACAAGGGTGGTAGGGGAGCATCATCTTGAACCCCTCCACACTGTACACTTCCCAGGGCTAGAACCTTGGTGAACGCTGATCCTTCAGAGACAAACCTGGACAACAACATAACATGTACCATCTATTTGGTCTCTCTGCTAGACAGGGTATAGTCGGAGGAGTAGAAGGGGCCAGATTGGTAGACAAGGGTGGTAGGGGAGCATCATCTTGAACCCCTCCACACTGTACACTTCCCAGGGCTAGAACCTTGGTGAACGCTGATCCTTCAGAGACAAACCTGGACAACAACATAACATGTACCATCTGTTTGGTCTCTCCGCTAGACAGAGTACAAGTCGGAGGAGTAGGGGGGGCCAGATTGGTAGACAAGGGTGGTAGGGGAGCATCATCTTGAACCCCTCCACACTGTACACTTCCCAGGGCTAGAACCTTGGTGAACGCTGATCCTTCAGAGACAAACCTGGACAACAACATAACATGTACCATCTATTTGGTCTCTCTGCTAGACAGAGTACGAGTCGGAGGAGTAGGGGGGGCCAGATTGGTAGACAAGGGTGGTAGGGGAGCATCATCTTGAACACCTCCACACTGTACACTTCCCAGGGCTAGAACCTTGGTGAACGCTGATCCTTCAGAGACAAACCTGGACAACAACATAACATGTACCATCTATTTGGTCTCTCTGCTAGACAGAGTACGAGTCGGAGGACTAGGGGGGGCCAGATTGGTAGACAAGGGTGGTAGGGGAGCATCATCTTGAACCCCTCCACACTGTACACTTCCCAGGGCTAGAACCTTGGTGAACGCTGATCCTTCAGAGACAAACCTTGACAACAACATAACATGTACCATCTATTTGGTCTCTCCGCTAGACAGGGTACAAGTAGGGGGGGGGGGGGTTAGATTGGCGAACACTGTTCCTTATTTCCCGTGTAATGAAGCGCTTTTACACCAGTCAAATGGCCCTGGCTGGGTGGAAAAGCGTCTCAGGTAAGTGACTGGGCCATCCCCGGTTGCCGGAGAGACGCTAGAGTGAACCATCGATCTCTATTACTACAACTTGATCGCTCGCTATGTGCTGTGTTTTCGGTTTGGCCGCTCGGCGCTCCCCCCAACACCTAACGTCGGAGCTGTCTCTCCCTTATTCATTACGTCTTATGGCATTTCCGTGTTTGCACTCACAAAAGACGCTATATCTCTGTTCATAGTTGCTCGATCTTCAATTTATTTACACAGTTATCAAATCTGCATGAAACTGCGGAGATTATGGAATTTATATCAAAATAATTCTAATAATACTTAAATCTATTAAATACGGTTTGTTGCTGCCACTTTTTAATTATAAAGCTATTATTTTTGCTAATGATTAATGAATTTAATTTAGCATACACTTATTGCTGTAAGAGTATGAAGTTATACAAATGGGTTATTCAATTTTAACAGGTAGGCCTATCTATTATTTTAGTAATAAAATATGCTTCATACAGCTAACTTTTAACCAAAGTCATACATTTGTTCGGTTGGAGTACCAAATGAAACAAGCACCAAAAGACTTAGAATAGGTCAAAAGGTCAAAACAAACAGCAATACACAAATGAAATGAAGAGTGTTGCACCCAAATTAAACCATCCAAACAACAATGGGTTTGATATAAAAGCTGAGGGCTATAATACTGTAGATGGAAAAGAAAAGTACCATAAGAATAATAAGTTGTGATTAAACTATTAAAAAAATATCAGAATAATTTTGTCAGAGAATGTAGAGAGGTAAAAATGTTGTTTGTGTATATAAGCTCCTGGACTCTAATTTGCTCGGGTAAACTAGCTGGTTCAACTAAAGTATATTCATTAAAAAGACAATTAAATAGTCACATGATCACCTTAAAATATAATTTAAACAAACAAATAATTTACACAGTACTTACTTTGACATGAGAGATTCAGCTTTCTTGACAACAGCATTGTAAGCTTGAGTGATGACGAGATCAAAATACGCAGGCCTTAGGAAGTGTGGAATGTCCTCTAGAGGTGCCAACCTACGAAAAGATAAAAGTTGATCACTAGTATAATGTTATAAGCTTTAAAAAAATATAACTAGTGATTTTGAAAAAACGTAATGTTAACTTTTTTCTAAAACAAGGGAATGATGGTAATTTTGATATTTCCATATATACTCTGCATAAATTTCCTCTTGTACTTTTACAGCATGTTTACATCAAGTTCCCATGGACTAAGCCTAAAAGATAAGGAGCAAACAAGCTTAAAAATGTTTGGTCAAATATTAGTTTTTTTTCATTGGATTAGGTATCAAATAAAAAATTAAAGTGTATGGTTATTTAATGATTCTGACAAACAATGTGAGACTTATAGGGCTTGAAAGTGGTAATTTTGACAAATGTTGGAGCAAAGAAAAGGGCCTAAACCACAGGCCCGACAAAAGTGTACATTTACAATAATTTTCCTAGTAAACTATCACAAGCTTAAGTAAACTGTTGTAATTGAATTTCAAAATTCGTAATAAACTTATCACTTTCAAATAAAACTAACATAACTAGACATCATTTTGTTTATAACAAATTGTATGAGCGTAACATTGTTTTACTTATTGCAATTTTTTCGTAGATAATATCTTATTTCTTTCTTACCCCTGTATTTGTACCTTTTTTTTTGAAAATTGTCTTCTGTGGCCGAATAGGCCAGCCCACACTACACCGCTAATGTGACAACTTGGGGACCTAATTATTAGAGTTCCCTTGCACCCAATAAGCTATGAAGCCATAAAATTAAGATTTTTATATTTTGAGAAATCTTAGCTAGTCTAAATAAACTTGTATCTTTGTTTGTTGTTATTTTTTAAAATTTATTTAACTGAACATACCTCTGTTGTAGAAACTCTCCCAGCTGTTTAGTGCCCGGGTCACGTACAAGTCTTGTGACTGTGTAGTCACGTAGCCACAGTCCGTCACGTATATTGGCACACAGCGGATGACCAAGATCATTCTTTGGAGTTATCTCATCCAAAAGAGAAACGGTTCCTGTAAACGTCATCAGGTAATTGTGTATCTATCACCTGCATTTCTTTACTATGATAGAGGTATTGTGTTAGAAGAGAAAATCAAATGCGGAAGTGAAAGCACAATTTGAGAATATTTACTATAGATATTCATACATTTCTCTTGCAGATTGATCATGTTAGTAATTTTTATTAATTTAAAACTTTATTTTTATCAAGAGACAACTAACAATAAAAAATAACTTAAAGAATAAAATCTGGGCAAAATAAAAAAAAAGAAACAAGTAGGCCTAATCACTTATTTCTGTTTCTTTGACCTTGCTCAGATTTGACTTTTGAAGTTATTTATTATTGTTACTTGTCTCTTTGTTCTTGATGTTCTTTTGTTCACTGACCACATTCTTTTAATTTCATCACACTAGTGGCATATTCAAAGTACATTAAGTATTAAAAACTACTTGCTACTATATACATGTGTTTGTGAAACACTATTGTTTTTTCACATCACAAACACTAACTTCACAGCTGTGAGACAAAACAGCAGTGGGTGTCTGTCAAGTGTTCGGTTGAGGGAGGTTCACCTCCATCACCAGTATAGGATTAGGTACATAACTTTGCATGTCATTTACTTGAATCATTGTACATATTGGCATTGCCGTTGAAATAAATAATTACTGGTCAGGGCAATGGACATTACAAGTTCTTAAAACTGGGTAACAGTGTAAATTTTTGTTGTTGTCGTATACAAAATAATATATGGTATTGTATGGAGGAATTATAGATAATTTTTCAGTATTTTCCATAGATATTGATTTTTTTAGCACAAAAAACCAAAATTTTCTTTTGGCAAAATATACTGTAGGCCTATATCATCCTAATTTAATTAATTAGGGATTAACCAATCAACTGACCTTGTAGTCCGCAGTAGACAAGTTTGCCGAACCCTGGTATCTCATAGGCTGCGTCTTCTCTCTCACACTTGTACAACACTCGGTTTATGTCAGCCAATGTAAGACTGGCCACTACGTGTTGCATGTCTGGTACTAAGGACAGCTTTTGTAGTGCAGGTCTCACATTCGGCTGTGGCACAACCCTGAGAAAACAACCCCACAGTAAGATTGGTGTCCAATACGATTGTCAGATAGTGGTAGTTCAGTTGTTAGATGGTGGTAATTTAGTAGTGTGATGGAGGAGATTTAGTGGTCTGATGGTCGAAACATAGTTGTGTTATGGTGGTGGGTTATTGGTGTTATGCTGTTGGTATAGTGATGTTATAGTTATATGGTGTGGTGGTGTATTTGTGTCTATAATAACCTTGAAAACATTAACTTATGAATCCTGTTATGTCACATCTTTAAGCGAATATCCCAAATAGAGAATAAGGTAAATTAACGTACGTTTCATGGTGAGACTTGGACCCAGGACCAATTAACTTTTTTGTTTCGAGGTCCCCTGAGGCCAAAAACATCATCTGTTCAAATTCATAAATGTGTCCTTCAAGGTGATAACTCGATGAAAAATTATCAGATTTTTGAGGAAATTCAGCAATTAATAAAGATCAATGAGGGGATAGTGGAAAATTATGTGTTGAGATAAGAGATAGATTGATAGAACAAGAGCTGGAAACTTAAGGGAAAATTATTTGGAACTTATTGTAAGGCAAGATCAATTGAATACTTTAGTGTTTTGACACTAATGTATTTATTTCTTGAAGAAATTACTAATAAAGATTTTTGTTCAAATCTAAGGCTTACCTCACAATCCAATTTATTTTGGAAGCCTTGTATTTTAACAATGTTCGATAACGAAAGGCTGTATCTCCAAATAAGGATTTTTGTCTATTAAGTGAAAGATGTGGAGTTGTATTAAACGAGTAGCATAAAAGAGATTTACAGCACCCAGTAGACTGATGTTTGGTTTATTCTGAAATCTAAAAGGCAAATATAAGTTAACTTACTTGATTGCCACTATACAGCCGGGCTTGAACCTTGCGGTAAAGTTGAGCCGAGTCCCACCATCACTAGTAGGAGTCAGTTCCACCATGGCAACCTCGTTAGGCTTCATGTTCTCTCTGATGTTGAGTACATACTCTGTCAATCCGTTGATCTTCTTCAGGTCTTTCTCAAACTGTGTCGGTCTGCTGTACTTGTCCGTAGACCTAATCAGGAAGAGATTTAAACGCTTAGATACCATGGTGAGTATTTTTTCAAAGTTGAATGTCCCTTTTTAAAACTATTCCTTACCAGAAAACACTCATCACTCATTATTTCGTTGTAGTGTAGGCCTAATGTTTGCTGAAACAGGTCACTTTAATTTTTTTTCTTATTTAACACGTTCACTGCTAATGACGCACTTGTGCTGTAGAGTTTTGTGTTTTGTTGAGGAGAGAGGCCAAAAACACCATTCGTTTAAATTTATATATATATATATATACATCCGTGAACGCGATGAACTTGAGTAATTTTTGTCCGATTTTGATGAAATTTGGTTTAAAGGTGTAAAGCGGGATAAACTTGAATGAGTTTGCGAACCAGCATGATCGGACTGTGGGAACGGGGCTTTACGGGAGGTTTTATGGGGTAAAAATTGGTTTTTCTCACTTTTGACCCTCAAAACACAAAATTTCCCAATTTCTCTTTAGACCTTTTTAAAGAGCTTAAAAAAACAATTAATTTAGTATATAAAAGTATTTTATAACAGGTTACGTACCTTGACGTCCACAATTCCTTAGTCGGTATTCGTTGACTATAGTTTCGACTACTGCGTAGTCATTATCAAAACGGAACGTTAAAATATTACATTCGTTGAATGTCGTCAAATCTTAATACATCGAACACAAACATAACACGAACACGGTAGACATTTAACATAATTGGCCGGCCGGCACACGTCACTGAACTGGTCGAAAACGACTGACTATTGAAAAGTATTTTTGTTCGGTAAATAGTAACGGAGAAAATTTAAAAAATTGTAAATTTAAAATTCCCATGTTATTCTTATGGAGAATATTGTAAAATGTTGTAGTTTGCTTGTTTATGGAGATATTTTGTATTTTGATCAAATTTATTTATTTTGTACTAAGCTATCAATATTTTACAAAAAAACACACTTTATTAGTTTCCTTGTAGCAGCAAACCTAGGTACTCGTTAAACCTAATGTTATTAAAATATATTTAATTGAAAATCAATTAAGACAAATGGAAATTCGCTTAGTCGGCAGGTTTGCTGCAGCGGGGGTATTTTTTTACTGAATTAGTTATTTTAGATACTTTCTCAAATGGGGGCAAAATTCCTGATCACAAAACATCTTGAAACACTACAGTACGGTCCACGAGAGTCTGCAGTTAAGGGAGGAGCCGATTTACCACGTGACTTCGAAGGAGCCAATGAGGACAGTGTGGTGTTGCAAAATCTAATAATACCAGCTGATTTGAAAATACTGTTTAGTATATTTTTATTAGTGTAAAAAATTAGGGAACGGGCGATGTTGCAACGTTGCGCTAGTCCAGTCTTGCTATTGGCTGCCGTTAACTGCAGACTCTTGTGGCCCCTAGTATAGTTTTTAATTGTGATAAAAAATTTCCTTAATAATCCCTTTAATAATATGAAAAATATGCTTGCATTGCCTCTAAATTAATTCAAATCCTCCCCACAAAACAGATAAATATCTCACATTACTACAACATATGTATAGTATTTCCAATCCACCAATGTAAAACAATTTGAACAACTTACTTGTGGGACAAAGACGCCTCCAGGATGACCGAGTCAACGTTGCCAGACACAGTGACCCCTCGCCCCTCGGCAGTCTTGTCTGCTGGAGGATGGGAGAAGGCCGTGAAGGCGACCAGTACGACAGTCTCACGGGTCGCAGGGCAGTGTCGAGTCACACACACCACGTCCTCGGTCACCTGGTCTACGAACACCTGCGGCCGACGATGTGATTATAAGAGCCGTGCCAGGTAGAAGGTGGTAGTACTGTATGGGAGGTGAATACAGATTGGAGGTAAAGGGTAGTGATGGGTTTCTTAGTACCTTGGGATTTCACTTTGGTAGGCATTGACAAACATGAATCACACGGTCCCTTGCCAAAGTTTTCAAAATTTGATCTGGACGGATGTTCAACGTTATTGATAATATGCCTGGAGATATGAGATAATTTCCCTGTTAGGTCTGACATGGATATGTCACTCTCCTCTTCCACTCTGTCTCCCCCTCCTAATTCCTTAACAACGTCCCTCACTTCACACAGGTTCATAAAACTACCCTTGTCAAATATTTGTATGAATGTGGGGTATTCATTCCTACGGCCTTTAAAGACATTAAATAATTTTATATCAGCTTGCATGTAAATTTTTCAAACTAATACCACATGTGTATTCTATATTGCTAGTGTGATTTACTAGCTAATAGGGCAGGTTCCTAATATCTTTCAATTTAAACTGTTGGTGTATTCAGTGGGTATTAATGCCAATTAAATTTATTAAGGAGTTTTTTTTGTTTCATTATAAGGGATGCGATCAGCTGGCTAATCTCAGTGTCTTGAGGATTTTAGGTACATAAATACCCCCGCCGCAGCAAACCTGCAGACTAAGCGAATTTCAACTTGTCTGATTATATATTTACTAAAATACTTCCATAAATAAGACATATTTATTCCCAATTTAAATAACATTAGATATAACGAGTGCTTAGGTTTGCTGCTGCCGGGAAGGTAAACAGTTTTTTTTAACCAAACAACAATAGTATAGGATGAAATAAATAAGTTTGCCAAATTTGATCAAAATATATCCATAAACAAGTAAACGACAACAGTTTTCATTTTTTCCATAAGAATAACATGGGAATTTTAAATTTGCATTTTTTTGAATTTTCTCCGTGACCGTTTGGTATACAACAATGCTTCAATATACTAAATTATTTATTTTTTTAAGCTCTACAAAATGGTTGGGAAAGAAATTCTAAAATTTTATGTTTTTAGGGTCAAAAATGGGAAAACCCCATTTTTACCCAATAAGACCCCCCATAAACCCCTGTTCCCATGGTCCGATTATGCTGGATCGTGAACTCGTTCGAATAAATGTAGGTTTACATGTTTGTACCAAATTTCATCAAAATCGGATCATTTTTGCTCGAGTTATCGCGCTAACGGACACATATATATGTATATAAATATATATATATATGAATTTGAACGGATGGTGTTTTTGGTCTCTAGGGACCTCAAAACGAAAAAAAAAATCGGTCCCGCGTCCAGGTCTTACCATGAGTACTACGGTAATAGCTTATTCCCTATATGGGAAATTCGCTAAAAGGTCACTTAAAACACTAGTATCCTGATGTTGGATTTCTTCATTTCTTCAAATAGTAAACTGATAAGTATTGCGTTGTTATGAGTTTTTTTTTTAGTATACATTAAGCTTGTCATAGGGAACTAATAATTGAATAAAGATATAGTGTTAAGTTGAAAGTTCCTCGCCACAAGAAGAGATTCACCTGACTAAAACTCTAATCTTTTTTTTATATCAAACTATTTACCGAATCATACATTTTAAAAATTTTGCAAAGATAAAACATTTTCCGAAGCTCTGACCAGTGTCATATATATATTTGTACCTGACTGTAGCCTTCTTTGCCGAGTCTGTAGTGTAGATTGTTCAGAGCTCTTTTCCCAGCCACGATTCCTGAGTTGATGTTTACTTCACCTTCGCCCCACCTCATGTATTCTCTTGACTCCTCAACAACGTGAATCTGAAAAAAAATTTATTTACATTTATTCTTGAAGGACACTGGTTCGATCCAAAGTAGGATTTATTCTGGATTTGGATTCATTTGACATTTGGCTACAAATTAATTATGCTACCTAACAAAAGGTCAACATCAAATAGAGAAAACTATAACATTTTTGCCACCAAGACCAAGACTTGGTCGCATAGTGGTAAGGTGTCTTAAACTTTAGTGCGAGATAGACAGGTTTGATCCTCACCAAAGCCAAAAAATGTAAGTTTTTTTTACTGCTATCCCTTAACAGCTTTTAATATTCTCTATTACAAATTGCCAACAGTGTAAAACTAAAAAATCGATAAAGTAAACAAATTTCAATTGTACTAAACAATTTGTACTTACATGATGCGGCACCAACTGATCATAGCCCATATTGCTGCCGGAAGCACAACAAGCCATAGCGACCAATGCAGCACTTGGTAACAGATCAAACACACTCCTCTTGTCTACAGGGCTCTGGTTGTCATGGGTGAGGTCCAGGAAGAGAGCATGAGCCACGGTGGGGGCCAGGGGACGGTCCTGGCGGGGGGTGAAGGCACCTACTGGGGCCCCGCCATACCTGTAGACCAACCTACCCAGCTCATGACTGTCCCAGGCGGACATTGCCTCTGTGAAACATCACTTTGGTTATTGGAAGTGATGATTTTAAACATTATTGCTTATGAGACATGAATACCACATACTTTTTACGTTCATCATACATCAAGCGTCTTATGGTAAATAGTCTTGCTATCAACCTTACTGGAAAATTGTTATTGTCATGTGAGTTTCATAAATTATTCAACCCTCATTAAGGCACTAAAATACATTTTACTTATTTCTGTAACTTTATGCTTTTTTGTGAAAATGGGTTGGTATTACTAATTTCGACTTTTGAGAGTTAAATTAGTTGGTAAAAATGTATGTTAAGTAAAAAGTAAATGAGCGTTTTGAGGGTTCTGATATTTTGGACATCTAGTACAGTATTGCCATTTAAAATGGGCTTCCTGTACTATAAAGTGAATGTGGTAGAATGGAGTGGGATGAGCTGTGCTGTGTAGTGTTGTTACTCAATAAGATAAACTGGTTCTTTAGCCAACATTTCTTAGTAAAACCTCACAGATTAAGGGCTAACTGGGTCCAGTTTCAAAACATCAAAAAGCAACTGGTTTTTCTCTGGACCCAACTGGCAGATTAGTAGGCAAGCACTATAACCACTCAGAAACCCATCATAAGCTACAACATCTCTTTATGAGAGTTCAATAAATTGGTTAAAACTAAAGAAAAACACAAACAATCCCTAAACTAGTCCACTATCTAAATTTTCAAACTAATTAATTATGTTAATTTACTGATAACAGAAAATTAGCAGGAGTTAAGTTAGCTTTATATTTTAAAACAACTTTTTCTGCAATTTTGTCAGCTGAGTGTTAAGTTTTTTTTTACAGTAAAATAGAACCCTGTTTAGCCGAATTCAGGTTAACCGAAACCCAGGTTAACCGAAACAGTTTCATAAAATTATACACGGCTTAAATATAAGTAATGTAAAATGCTTTAGTAACTTCAGTTGTTTAGTTTAAAGTATTTCATAACCCAGTGTAACATTTCTATAGCTGAACTAAAACACTGTATTAAGACATTGTTTTAATATTAAATTTTCCCACACACTGTGGTAATAAAAAGGTTTTTTTAGCATATGATGGGTTAACCGAAAAATTTGTTATCTGAAACGGCTCTCCCCCCTTTATTTCGGTAAAACGGGTGTTAGAGCCAGACTTAATTTAATTTAATTTCTGAAATCCCAGAGACATTTTAATTTATCCTTTTTCATTCCTGTTGCAACATCACCAACCATAACCACCCTCATTCAGGTTCCATACATTTAAATTTCCCGCCTATCCCTACTACAAGAAGAAGAAGTAGTGAAGGAAAAACCAATGCAGCAAGATGGCCATCTACAGAGAAGTCAACCCAAACATGTGAGGTATCTTAATTTTACTCATTTTCCTATTTTTCCACCTTACAATTTCTATTTCCTAGTTTACATCCACTGCTTTCATTGGTCCTTCGAACCTGATCAATTAATTTTTAAAAATCCTATCATATTTTTCTAATAATAATCAATTTTCAACTTGCTCCTATTCTTTCAACATGTTCCTATCCTTTCATGTTAAGTCTGGCTAGTGTTCTAGGTTATTATTGCAAATAAAGCTTCTGAACATTTATTTAACATCAAGATCAAGTTCAATCAACTTTTTAAAGCATTTTATGGACTTTTATCAAGATTTAAAGAAGTGTTAATTTGTATTTATCAAATCAAACCGATTTTTCAAGCAAACATTTCCCTGCTACAGGCTGGAGGGATAAATCCCTCATTTATGGGATAGGATTCACCAACATTTCCCTACGGCGGGATAAATCCCTCGTTTCGGGATAAATCCCTCATTCTGGGATAAAAACTATCTTTTTATCCCTGCACCAGGTTTTTATGCTTTTTTCATTCCTCTTGTGAATAAAATAATTACAAATGAAGCTTTTCACTTAACAATAAGTGAACACCATTGATTTATTGCTATTTGTGACTTATTAGGCCTATCTATTCCAACAAGTGATCAAACAAAAATAAGGTCTAGGCCTGTTCACCTAATAGGCCTAAACTCAATAACTTAGCCTATTACAATCAATTTGCTCTTTGGCTAAACAATATATAGCCGAAACTGTCATTGTGGAAATATTATTGATTTTATTGGAATAATTATATATTTCATTGATATATTTTGTACCTACACACTTAGCCTAGGTTCACTATAACCATGGCTGATGCCAAAGTAAAGAAGGATATCGAAGTGCTTAAATATAAAAGGGACAATATTGTCCAAAAGATTGAATACCTTTATTCTAAAGCTAATGCTCTTACAATCAATGCAGAACCAGATGACGTGTCAGAATTTAAAGTTCGCTGTGAAAGGCTACAGGCTCATCATGACAGCTTCGAACGTTACCAAACTGACATAGCTAAATCTTATGTCCAACTGAAAGAAACTAGTGAGTTGCCAACCTTGATGGAACTTAATAAGGCCACAGATCATAAATATTTCTACATTTTATCGGTGAAAGAAAAATTGTTTTCCACCTCAGCAACCAATGAAAATCCAGCAAATGGAGCCAAACCTCTTGGTTCTGCAACAGCTAAGCTCCCAAAAATTAACCTGCCTAGCTTCGATGGCACTTTAAAAGAATGGCCACATTTTAAAGACATATATCTAGCTCTAGTCCATAACAACAGTAGCCTATCAGACATAGAAAAATTCCACTTTCTTCTAAATAGTACCAAAGGAGAGCCTAATACGTTGGTGAAAAGTTTGCCGTTGTGTTCAACCAACTATGCTCTAGTTTGGGGTCAGCTTAATGAAAGGTATGACAACAAAAGGTTACTAGCCTCACATTACATCGAGGAAATTCTAAGCATAAGCCCAATTCATGTTGAGTCTCTGAAACCTTTGCGCAACTTACTTGACACACTCAATGAAAATACTTTAGCCTTAAAAAACATGCAAATACCTGGGAATATGGGAGAGTTTATCATATTGCACATTGCTTTAAAAAGCCTTGACAAACATACTAGACAACTGTTTGAACGAAAACATTCCAATAAAGAGTACCCTTCATTCACTGATTTTATTGAGTTTCTGAAAGATCATTGCAAATCCTTGGAAGCCGCTGGGGATTCCCGCTCTAATTCCAAGTTTGGCCTACCCAAATCAACTTCAAAACCGTACACTGTCAAATCACCAGCTACTGTTGTTTCAAGCAAACGATCGTTTCATGTCAGTACGAACAATCAAGACAAGCTTCCACCAAGCTGCCTATATTGTAATAAAGAACACAAAGTATATTCTTGTCCATCTTATTTGCAGTTGTCTCCGACCAAACGATGGGAGTTTATTAAATCTAAAGAAGCTTGCTTTAACTGTCTTACTGATTCTCATATGTTAAGTAAATGCAGATCCAATCGTACATGCTTTAAGTGTAAACGGCATCACCACACTACACTTCATGTTAATCCAGGTGAAAACAATCCTTCAGCTGCAAAGCCTGACAACACTCCATCATCTGATCGTAATGAAGATATTAAGGAAATGTCATCTCTGCCACAGCCTACTTCCGCGCTAACATGTACTAGGCCTAATATCGCTTCTAATTCCAAAAAGGATTGCTTTGATTCTACAACAGTTCTTTTAGGCACTGCAGTTATTCGCCTTCAGGATTCCACAGGCAATTTTCAATCGGCCAGAGCTCTTGTTGACGCAGGAAGCCAAAGTTCATTCATCACTGAGGCATGTGCACAGCGACTTGGACTGCCGCGACGCCGGCACATTCAACCTATTTTAGGCCTATCTGAAACTTCAGTATTGAGTAACAAAGGCATAGTTTTATGTGTTCTGAAGCCTTCACACCAAGACACCCCCATTCTTGAAGCTAATGCTATAGTATTAAATCGTATTACTTCTCAACTTCCTTCAACCACACTTCATGAGAAAGTAAGATTGTTTTACCAGGGCTGGGACTTGGCTGATCCTGAATTTTATCTACCAAGCAAGATTGACTTCCTTATAGGTGCAGATCTATTCCCACAACTCTTTGATGGTGGGCGGCTTGATTCTCCTCACGGAATCCCAACAGCATACCATTTTCGGATGGTTACTTATTGGAGAAACTTCTGTCCCAGTTTCCCAGTTTCAAACTGTCTAACTGTGTCTAAACTGTGTGCTAACTTAGCACTCTTAGATCATGAATCACTGGAATTCAATTTAAAAAGGTTCTGGGAAGTAGAAGAACCCCCAATGACTAAGTGTCTGGTTAGTCCTGAGGATGATCAATGTGAATCGATATTTACTTCAACAACTGAACGAGACTCATCTGGTCGTTTCATTGTCAATCTGCCATTCAAAAATGATTCACCAGACCTTGGCAACTCTTATAACCGAGCAAAAAACTGCTTGTTGTCCTTAGAAGGGAAATTCAAGCGAAACCCTGAATTTCAGTCAGCCTATTCTGCATTTATAACAGAGTATGAAACTCTAGGCCATATGACTAAAGTTACAAATCCTATGAAAGAGGCCTACTACATCCCGCACCATGGCATCTTCAAGAAAAATGCATCTGCCTCCAAGTTGCGTGTTGTATTTAACGCATCAGCTCCGACTACATCGGGCAAGTCACTAAATGATGAATTACTAATAGGCCCCAAGCTACAAACTGATATTTGTAAAATCTTGTCTTTATTCCGTCTTCATTCTTATGTCTTCACTACAGACATCGAAAAAATGTATCGTCAGATCCTTGTAAATCCAGAGCACAGAACTTATCAAGCAATCTTATGGCGAGATAATCCTGAAAACGAAATCTCGACCTATCTTCTCAACACTGTAAGTTATGGAGTCTGTAGTAGTCCTTTTTTAGCGCTACGCACGCTACGTCAGCTTGCCTCTGAACGTTCTGAACAATACCCATTGGCAAGTGATGTCGTCCTGAACTCCACGTTCGTAGATGATATTCTCACTGGAGGGGACTCCCTAGAGAAAACAAAAAAGGTTAAAACTGAACTTATTAGCCTTTTAGAATCAGGCGGGTTCCAATTGCGGAAATGGTCCAGTAACTCTCAGGAACTTTTGCAGGATGTTCCATCCCATCACCAGGAACTGATTTTTCGTGATGACAAGTTGGAAAACCCCTCTATAAAGGTGTTAGGCCTAAAATGGAATCCTATTTCTGATGTGTTTTCCTACGAGGTTCATGTAGAACAGTTACCCACAACGAAGCGAAGTCTGCTATCTCAAGTATCAAAAGTTTATGATCCTCTTGGTCTAATCACTCCTGTGGTATTATGGGCTAAATGTTTAATTCAGAAGATTTGGACATTAGGCCTAGATTGGGACCAGACCCTTCCAACTGATATTATTAATCAATCTGTCAAGTACTTTGAAAACCTCCCACAGCTCAGCCGACTCAATATTCCCCGACCAGTTCTGTCGCCAGGAAATAACGAAGCTCAACTCCACGGATTCTGTGATGCCTCAGAAGTAGGCTACGGCTGTGCCGTCTACCTTCGCATCGTTGACAGTAATTGGCCAAGTTCATTCAAACTTGATAATGGCTAAATCTAAGGTTGCGCCTTTAAAGAAATTATCAATTCCCCGCTTAGAACTGTGCGGTGCAGCTTTATTAAGCAAAACTATGATATACTGTCACGACATATTCAACTCTAAACTTGGAATAATTCCTTCATTTGCCTGGACTGATTCAGTTGTAGTTCTTCATTGGATTCGCTCTCCTCCACATCAGTTAAAGACATTTGTAGCTAATCGTGTAGCAGAAATCCAGTCTCTCATCGTACCTGCGAAGTGGCGACATACTACAACATCTTCAAATCCTGCGGACTACGCTTCAAGAGGACTGCTTCCTAATGAGATTTTGGACACTTCCTTATGGTGGCAAGGACCGGACTGGCTACAAGAAGACCAATCTTCATGGCCTACTCAACCGTTACCTGCATTATCTTCAGAAGAGTCTTTACTCGAGTTTCGACCTAATACGTCATCTGTATGTGTCTCTGCTAAACAACCTACAAATCATATTATTGAATTGATTGAAAATAGCTCTGATTTTAGAAAGCTACAGTCATGCTTTGGATGGGTTTTACGATTTATAAATAATTGTCAGAAGAGTAAAGAAAAAAACTTTCCTAACCTATCTTTCAGCAGCAGAACGCACAGCCTCTCTTAATTCACTAGTGAAAACCACGCAGTTTCATCACTTTCAAGATCAAATCAAGAAGATTTATTCACAACAAACTAGTCCTATGTTTCAGCGGCTAGATCCATTTCTTGATTCTAATGGAATTCTAAGAGTAGGTGGTCGTTTGAAGAATGCTCAGCTAGGCTATGATGCTAAACATCCCATGCTGCTTCCGAAAAACTCACCTTTGACGCATCTCCTCATTGATTACTTTCATGTAAAGTATCTGCATATTGGTCCAAGGACTCTCCAATCCCTTCTCTCCAGACAGTTTTGGATAATTTCTGCCCGACATGTAATCAGGCATCGCATATCTAAGTGCCTTGTTTGTACTAAGTTTAAGGCTAATTCACCTCATCCGTACATGGGCAATTTGCCGGAATCACGACTCAAACCAATACGGCCTTTTCTTGATGTAGGCGTGGACTTTGGTGGGCCATTCATGACAAAAACAGATAGGCTACGCAAACCTCAAATATTGAAGAGTTACGTCTGTTTGTTCGTCTGCTTCAGCACGAAAGCTATTCACCTTGAGCTGGTATCATCACTCTCCACTGAAGCCTTTTTGGCATGTCTAGATAGATTTGTGTCACGTAGAGGTCTCTGTGCAAACATCTACTCGGACCAAGGAACAAACTTCGTTGGAGCCGACAGGGAACTTCAAGATCTTTGTAACTTACTCTACAAGCCTCCCTCATCTGACGTGATTCAGTCAAAGGTTGCTAACCTTGGCATTAGTTGGCACTTTAATCCACCCGCAGCCCCTCACTTTGGTGGCTTATGGGAAAGCGGAATCAAATCCACCAAGTACCATCTTTAAGAGGGTTATTGGAAATCAAATTTATACTTTCGAAGAGTTTTCAACACTTCTAACCAAAATCGAAGCGATTCTCAACTCAAGGCCACTATGCAGTCTCTCACCAGATCCAAATGAATTTCAAATCCTCACTCCAGGCCACTTTCTTATAGGCGAGCCGCTAGTTGCTCTACCACAGGCAGACTTCTCCACCACTCCTTCTAATCGGCTATCCAGATGGCAATTGATCCAACAAGCTCAAAAATCATTTTGGAATACCTGGAGTCGAGAATACTTGCACCAACTCCAGCAGAGGTACAAGTGGAATCTAAAACAACCTAACCTGAAGATTGACGATCTCGTCTTAATTAAAGACAAAAATTTGCCTCCTTTGAAATGGACCGCTGCTCGAGTCATTGCAACGCATCCTGGTAAAGACGGCATCGTCCGGGTCGTCTCCCTCAAAACTCCAACCGGACAGCTTCAGAGGCCAGTAGTTCAACTGTGTCCTCTACCGCTAGAATAACTTACGTTGTTCAAGAAGATTGAGAAGATATTTTATTTTGTGTTTTTAGAAGAAACAAACATCTTTAATTTTCAATTTTGAACTATTACTTAACTGCGTTTTTCTATTTTGAACAATTTTACGTTTTAATTTGTGAAAAAGGACTAAGGACTAGCCCTTTTTGGTGGGCGGAAATGTTAGAGCCAGACTTAATTTAATTTAATTTCTGAAATCCCAGAGACATTTTAATTTATCCTTTTTCATTCCTGTTGCAACATCACCAACCATAACCACCCTCATTCAGGTTCCATACATTTAAATTTCCCGCCTATCCCTACTACAAGAAGAAGAAGTAGTGAAGGAAAAACCAATGCAGCAAGATGGCCATCTACAGAGAAGTCAACCCAAACATGTGAGGTATCTTAATTTTACTCATTTTCCTATTTTTCCACCTTACAATTTCTATTTCCTAGTTTACATCCACTGCTTTCAACGGGGTTCTACTTTAAACCCAATTTTGGACCCACCCTTGAGGTTTTAACCTCGTTTTATTAAGCAATGTTCTAGTAAAAATACAAATTCTTATCTTTCAGTGTAAGTAGGATTTGTTTAATTACATAACATAGGAGTAATATAAAAAAGTATAGTAATCTACTATCAAACAAACCTCGTATCAAAGATGTGATTCCCAGTCTGTTAACAAAAATGTTGTCAGTTTGGTCAGAATTTGTGAAAAGTTCCGCAGCCACAAACAGGTTTGGTCTTACTTTTCTGGCAGCGTCAATCAAATACTGAAAGGAAGAACAAGTAACGCTTACATTGGGAAAATTACAATGCTAATTACACTAATAGGGTAGCACTAAATAATACAGAATTAATATTTTTTTTATATGATTATATAAACTGGCTTTGGACAAAGATGACTATTCTCTTCTGTATGTACTTACTTACATGCCAAATATCTGGAAAAGTGTACAACACAAAAAAAAACAGGTTTATACTGTACCAGAGAATCAGCTGCTTCATATGTAACATACAAATTAACATAACTTTTCCAAATTTCTCTCTAAACTATTTTGAAACGCTTAAAAGCACAAATACTTTTGTAAACTGAAGTGTTTTTGTACCAATAACGTTTGTCCGTAACCGATAAAATACAAAAAGTTTTAAATTAAAATTCCCATGTTATTCTTACGGAGACTAAGTAGACTGTTATAGTTCGCCTGTTTATCGATATATTTTGATCAAACTAGGCAAATTTATTAATTTTATCCTCAACTATTAAATTAAAAAAATAAAAATAAAACACACTTTATCACTCTCCCTATGGCAACAAACCTAGGTAATGGTTAAACCTAATGTTATTTAAATAGATTTAAGTAAAAATCAAATCAGGCAAATGGAAATTCGCTTAGTCTGCAGGTTTTCTGCGGCGGGGATATTTTAATATTCCATCTTTAAATCCTTGACACTAGCCTCTAGCCCAGAACCAATATCACATTACTTCAGGCCAGACCTCAAAGCATCAGTATCTAGATAAAATCCATTATTGATTGGCGGGATTTGAACCCGGGACCTCGGGGACTAAAGTACCACACTCTACCACTAGATCAGCTCACTCCTCGCTGTTCGATACTGTAAGAGCTTACTTTTGATTCCTAAAAAAACAGCTGTCCCACACTGTAATTTAAAATTCTACGGAACAGCTGATATAACATTTGTTTACCTCAGCAACTACAAGTGGAGTAGAGTGACAGTTGTCCAAGCGAACTCCATCAAACACTCGAGCTGTTTGTTCCACATACGCTTGCATGTGCTGCCACAGGAATGGACAATCTTCTGGCTTGTCACCGTACCTGAACAGTAAAGACGGAACTATTCACTTCAAACAATAAATCAGTCATTTAACTTTAAAGAGCAATTGTTTATAGCTGAGTGATGTCTAACCTAGTGTTACTTTCTCTAGTTCACCAACTGCGTGGTATTTAATGGTTTAATTAATTGTACATTTAGGCTACATTTCTAAGATTATTATTTACGAGGGGTTCTGTAGGGTTCAGAACATGTTTTAGGAGCAAAATGCAAACGCAATTCTACCCTTTAACTTTCAACGATTTTTTGGTTCAAGACATCTAATTTGATGAGCTGAGTAGTTATAGTGCTTGCGTAGCAATCAAAAGCTTGCTGGTTTGATCCTGAGAAAGGTCAGTAGCTTTTTGAAGGTTCAAAAGTAACAACTGTTGTTCCTGATCATTGGGCTTTAAATAAATGATCCTGAGTGATGAAACAGCTGAGTTTCAAGTTACCCTATTGTGCCTTACCTGAGTTTGACGCTGTCGCCCCACGCTATCAGTTCCCTCCTCAAGTACACGTTGGACTCCGAACTTGCAAAGTTAGAGAGCGGATCGGCATTCATCACCCAGCCGTTGTGAGCCATAACATAGCAAGCGTTCCCTGAGTACATCACGTCTTCATTCAGGCTGTCGTCTGCGTCTGTGAAATACCTGTGGAACGCATCATAGTTACAACTACTTTCCTACATGATTAATGAGATAAATTAGTCTATTTACTTTAAGCTTACTTCAAGAGTTACAATCAGTGATAGACCGATTCCAAAATGTTGATTCTCATCCAAAAAAATAGCCAAACTTGAAGAGTGTCGAGAGTCAGTGAAGAAAACAAATCCGAATAAATGTAGAAGTTGATTGATTGATGAAACCAAAATACCTTCTGTGGTATAAATAGTTAGGTAGTAACGTGAGCTTGCCCCGTGGTCGAAAACTCAACGTAAAGTATGTATTATCATTATGCAAACTTCTCTATTTCCACCCCACGCTGTAAATAAAACATGTGATTGGAATATCTTCAATTTGTTTTGATTTTCTGTTTATATTTTGTTGTTATTTCGTCACCAACATGGCAACCCATAAGACCCATGTAAATTTTTTTTCATTTTAAATCCATTTTTTGTGCTTATTTTTTAGCCTATTTTAATTTATAATGGGATTCTGCACAACTACAGGAAAATATCTTTCATTTGGTATCAACTGCGTGTAATTCGGTCCAGTAGTATAGCCAGGCTAGCTGTCAACAATTTTGCAACACTTTTTTAGTATATAAGATTATAAGTAAGAAAGTAAGATATCAATCATACAAACCTTGGGACAAGGGGGTCTTTAGCAGACACCACTGGTACCCTAGGTCCATCAGCTTGTACTCGGAAATAGCGAATACCTGCAATGGAGTTTTCTACTGCAGCAACTAGATGTGCCTGTACCTATAATAACACGATATCACTTCAAACTTTGATAGTTCACTCACCAACAATACATGGCTAGGTGGCACAAAGGATTATAGTGCTCGCCTGGTCATCAAAATGTCATCAGTTCAATCCTGAGTAGTCAGTAGTGTTTGATGGTTCAAAATTGGACCCAGCTGTCCTTGAACATTGGGCGTTTAATAATCATGATTAAATACACAGCTGATCTTAGTAAAAAGCTAAAAAGGTATCTCACCCCATTCTCAATTTCATTTCTATTTCTACACAATATTTTGTTGTTCGATGAAATGATCATGGATGATAAACTTACCTCCAGTTATAAGGCATCTTTTCTTTGATGAAAATTATGGTTTGATTATTAGTGAATCTTTAATTACTAAGATTAAGATTATATTTTACCTGCTAGGAACAACAATTCTGTTTCACTCGTTTTGACTTCAGTAAGTTAATGTACAGTACTGTATATGATTTAAAAGAGTTCAAACTAAATTAACTGTTCAGATTTTTTTTACTTAAGTATTTTTTTAAGCTGAGTTTCTAATCAAGCCAATGACTTGCAAATTATAATTTCTAATTGAAATGCTCCTTTCTGAAATAACATTTGTCAAGGCACACACGATTGAGGGGGCCATAGAGATATTACTTGAAAGTTTTATGTGTCCTTTCTTTTCTTCTAAATACCATTTGAACTATTCAAATGAAACTATCCAAGTTTTAAATAAATACAATTGTGTGCTTTTTAATGTTATTGTACAAGCAACTTCACTACACTAATCACATTATGTCAAACTAAAGCCTATTTTACAGCAGTAGTCGTAGTCGATAAATAAATTCAGCTCAGCTAATATGACACCACTAATGCCAGGGGACTGCTTTAAATTTGCTTAAATCGAAAAAGCTCATCTCTCACAGGAAACAGTTTGTTGAAATTAGTTGTCATAACCATAAAAACTATAAAATTCCATATTAATCTTTCACCAAACTTCAAATATGGGGTTCCGTAGGGATCCATTCTGGGCCCAATTTTATTTATAATTTATTTTATTCCAGTGGTTCCATTCTGATTTTGAACATTAAAGGATTCCCATAGCTCAATATTGTATCCAGTACAGGTTATAATTTTGTCTAAAGAATAAGCTTTTTAACTTTTAATGAACACTAAACAACAACTGAAACAATATTTTCAAGCCACAAACCTGTTGATAGACTGCGCCATTTAACTCCTCCAATTTCTTTTTGAAGTCTTCAGCACAACGCCGGAGTCTTGTGTCCTCGTCAAAACAGTCGCTCCTGTAGAATAAATTTAGTTTAAATTACTATTACTAATCTTCACAAAAAACAAAGAGGGCAAACAAAACTAAGTGCAATTGTGAATCATCAATTCTTAATACATCAAACAAAAAAGTGATTCATTGGATTAACCACTTTAGTAACTTAAGAAATATTTTGAATTGAATATAATTTACACTAACACTTAATGTTGTTTAAAGATTAATGAGTACATTTTCCATCCTAAGTAGTGAAGCAAACATTTTACATTTTTGGACTCTGGAAAATGCAATTATTTCAACTCCACTTCCATATCTGTTCCTATATCTATTGGCATTTAATAATTAAAATCTCCAAGCGACTAACCTGTACACATTATACAGCCGCAGAGCCAGTTCCAAGTCCACAGTTGTGTGCAGCCTCCTATACTGAGGGTCTTGTACCAACTTGAGCTGGCTGTAGTCGGGAGGTGCCGCGGTAGGTAACGGTGGGACCCTGTTACGAGCCTTCGCTTGAAACTCTTCTACTAGAGCGTGGACGTTCAGCAAGTAAAGCTCGGGGATCTTCACTCTGGGAAGAACTGTGCCAAATAACGCGTGGCGAATAGCCTGAAACAGACAATAGTGGCCTGTGAGGATGGTTTGTATGAGTAATGTAAATTAAAACTAGGAACATCTTGAGCTGAATTGGGTGGTATTTTTATTGCAGCAAAAGCCCTATTTATTCCAAATATGTAGCATTGACATAGCTTTTGAGACAGCAACATCAACCATTATTGACTGTTTAATCTTTAGGGTTACATTGTTCTCTTTCTCTCTACTATTTTAGGATGTTTTAAAATAAGAATGCAGGATGAGTGTAGACTGAAGAATCAAGTGAGATGATCTGTGTAGCATTTTTACTGACTATGGATACCTTTTTCTATTGTCAGGACCATTTATAATCAAGGACAGCTGGGTCCAGTTTTGAACCATTAAAAGCCATGAACACTTTTTGTAATATAGAAGCAGCAACCCTTTGATTTTCAGGCAAGTGCTACAACCTGTGAGCTACCCAGCTATATGGGTAACACTCTGTTTCTTTTAAGTTTTACATCAACTATTCAATATTACCTGAATAAAATGCAGTACAGTATTAAATTATTGCAAAAGTTGTAGAGAAACCTGATTTCAAACAGTACAGGAAATATTTTTACAGTCTGAAAAAATCAGTTTGGTTGTTTGGTGTACTTGTAAAACTTCCTGTTGGTGGCAATTTTAGGAACTTGTGGGATTAAGAAAACATTACTTAACAAATAGCATATAGAGAAAACATTAACTCCCCAAGAGGTTTACTCGTACAAACCAAATGGTTGTCCAACAGACATAGACATAGTATTCCCACACACTTTATAATGATTCACTTCCTAGTATTTCAAAATTATGTGAAGTTAAATTGCTCATTCTCAAAACTTAAATCACACAATAAACAGAGACATAATTCACTTTTCACTTCAAGTTTAATGAATAATTACTTGTTAAAGTGACTGAATTACAGAATCAAAGTTTCAAACTCCAGCAACAAAGTTCCTAGGGATTTTAAGGTTGATGATTGGATTTTTTTTACTCAATGATGATAAACGGATCACATCAAGGACTTATTTCACTGAGTTTTTTTGAAGCTCCAATACAAGACTAACTGTTCTGTAAATAATTTCAAGTTCAAAGGTAAATTCTTAAACAGGGTTTTTAGCAGTAATAAAGATATACTTCACATTTGGTTTTTGAAGAAGAGAAAGAAGAGTTAAGTGACACATACATCACAGGTTTTAGAAACTAATATACACACTGGAACAACCATGTTCCAGAAACACAATTAAGACTGACCTGTAGATGTTCATCGCAGTTGACCTCGGCCGGGACCCCAGAGAACTCCCACAATCCCTTGGAGACCTCTAGGCTGAACTTGTACAGAGTCAAGTCCAGCAGGTAAGCCGGCCGAAGGTGAGGACAGTTCTGTAGATTGTATGTACACTCTGGATGTTCTCTCAACCACGGACTCTCATTGGCCGTGTGGTTCAACACGATGTCACAGATGCTCAACATCTAAACATTCACGGACCTTATAACGGTCATCAATTTGGTGATATCTCAGAGAAGTAAGATACAGAGGAAACATTCAATGGTACACTTAAGTCGTGTCTAGCACCAGTCGCTTGTGTCTAGTTCAAATTCCTTTCGCTCTCCTTCCCCTTCTCACCATCACGTACTATAGCACTCACACTATAGGAAGAGCTTGTCAGCTACAACTGCCATTGTAAACAATAGCCATTCGGACTCTTCCTTGCTCAGTACTAGTATATTCCCGCCCCACCATTCCAGAGCTAAAAAAAAGCACGGTTGTTCCGTAAGCATGCTTTCTCTGTATCTTACTTCTCTGTTGTGTTAGGAAAGTATAGAATACAATAAAATACTCAAACCATAAAATAGTACAAGCATTTTTGAGTCACCTTCTTCTGTAGTCATCTTTGTTCTTGAGGGTGTGTTTGGCTTCAGGGAGTATAATATACCAGATAAGAACTTCTGCAAGAAAAAGGACAAAAAATAACACATTTTAAGTTTAGCTAGTTCTGTTACCTCTGGGTATTTAGTAAAAGCTCAATGATCAAGAACATCTCAGTCTAGTTTTAAACCATCAAAAAGATGAGTTTTCTTAGGGTTGGATCGGCAACCATCTGATACATCTGATAAATCAATTACGTTCAGAATTCAGATGCTTACAGCAGTATACTACCCTTACCTTCCACTCATTCCTGATCTTTTCTATCAGATTCTGGAGCTCATTGATGTCAGGTGTGTGTCCATTGACAGCAAACGTGGGGTTGAGAGCAAGTTGGTTCTGTAGACTGTAGGCAGAATTTGACCCTCCGAGTTCCTAAAAAAATTTCATGTTGATAGTATTCTTGAAATGTTAGTACTGGTAGTTTTATCCATGCTTTACAGAAAGGTAAAAGAAATATAAAAAAATTGCAAATTGCAAGCTAAGAAAATTGTTGTTTGCCTGTTTGTATGTTCACTTAAATATTTCCTTAAAATTTTTAAATCTATTCTTTTTTTAAATAACATCAGTTTCTCGATGAGTACTTAGCTTTGCTCCTTCAGGGAAGGTAATTAAGTGTGTGTTTAGTGAAATGTACATAACTTAGTATGAAATATACAAATTTGATTCAATACATCCGTAAACAAGAAAACTACAACAGTTGTTTATGTCCTCCATAATAACATAGGGACTTTAAACTTAGAGGCGGTTCACGAGTACGGGGTTTCGTGGCCCGCGGTTATCGTTGTTCTCGGCCAATTTTAACCGACGGCCAAAAAATGGGTTCACGACATAGAGCGTTAGCCGAGATCAAGCTTAGCCGAGACCAACGCTGACCGTCGCTCAACAGCAGGGATTTAACGGGGAACTTTCGTTATAAGGTTGGCAACAGCCACGTGGGCTACCGGCCGAGCCGCTGCTCGCGGTCGACGAGTCCCAAAACAATAGGATGACGTGATAAATTATTATATTTACAGTATACAGAGTGTTCACTGATATTGCATAAAAAGGTTGTGAACTTAACTTGCACTTAAATTCATTTTATACTAAAGTTTTAAGTTACTGGATTAGTCATTGAATTATGAAATGAATAATACAATTTTACTGACATGACATTGAATCGGGAAAATACAATAATGTTTTTAATAAAATTTGTTAAAACAAATCTTAGTAATGTTCGCAAACTAAATTTAGATCACCATTTATGTTCAAATTTAAGACGTACTTATCAGGTTTGCAGTGTTATCCAAAAATTTCAAATATTTCACGGAATGACTGTTCTTTTTAAGTAGGCTATGTATGATTAACTGTTATGTATAAGTAATTTGTGAAAAAAATAAATTTGGAGGAACAACTGGCTATTATAGGAGTCGGGATGCCCTCATATGTAAAAAATAATAATATAAAACGTAAATGTTTTTGTTTAAAGGTGATTGCAATATATGTGACGTAGATATTTTTCTTTTATTGAGAAACAAATAAATATTAAACATTAGTAACATTAGTGGCTAAGTGATATTAGAATATTTCATTACGGTACTTACTGTGTAGAGGAATGGAATTTCTAAATCAGATGGCAGTATACACCCTAGTTAGTATTTCGCGCTTTTTCAATACCTCAGCATGTAACTAAAATAAATAAAAAGGTTAAAATACCTGATTGTTGCCTTGTCGCCCAAAGTATTGTCCTATACGGATCCGACGATGGCGCTCGCGCCGAATTGTACATAATCCACTAGGACAATACTTTGGACCAAAGGCGACAATCAGGTATTTCAACCTTTTATTTATTTGTCAATCAGTTGGTCCAGAAACACCACAACAAAATATGAAATGTAGCTACACCTTATTTCAATGGGTTTACTCAGACTTAAGCATGAGAAATCTTAGGTGTAAGAAAACAGGTTATAATTTAATAAAAAATGTTGTAATACAACGTTTTGTATATTTAACTATAGAATTTACCTTTTATCTCGGCAAATTGAAGCAATTTATTGTAAACCCCGATATGACAAATATTAAGAAATTATCGGATGAAAAGATGTTTCAACTGTTAAATCATAAACATAAAAATATAAACATATAATTTAAAACATATAAAATGAAATGTGGAAACTTAAATAAATTGGCCTATATTAATTATACAATACAAATTCTTAGACAAACCTAACAGTATTTGTCGAAACCATTTTTATTTTGCAATTATTCGGCTGAAATAAAAGTGCTCTAAAGTGATAAAATAAATATAAAACAGTAACGTTATAAAATTAATTTGCAATTTAAATTTATATAAATAGACCTATGTTAAGCTATTAATTATATTTTTATTTAGTTATTAATTAAAATTAAAAACAGCAACTTTTTACAATGTTTTGTATGTTTTCGGCTATCAGTAGTAAAAAAATTAAAAAAATAAATATCATGTTGAGGGTAATGAAATTGTTCGGAATTTAATGGCGAATCCGAATATAACATTCTTTTTGCTAACAAAAAAACAATAAACGAGCAAATGAGATAATCCCGACATGATGTCACCTTAACCCTGCCCCCTAGCAGGGTTAAGTTGAAGACCAAAACCATTGTTATTTACGCTCGAGATTATCCAGTTTGCGCTAGACCATGACTCGTGAACCCGACATTTGGCCCGGGGTTTTCTCTAATTGAACCCGTGAAGCCGACTTTTTGCGCTCGGGTTTATCCCTGTCATAATTGGGTGAAGTTTATCTGTCTGCGCTCGAGCGCGGGTAACCTCGTACTCGTGAAGCCGATTTCCAAGCCGCGGCGCAAAAAACCGGCTATAACTGGATTTTGCGCTCGAACTAAGGATAACCCGTGACTCGTGAACCGCCTCTTACTGTTTTTGGAAATTTTCTCCTTCATTGAGTGGTGCAACAACGCTTAAATTTTGAATATACAAAATTTTTGTTTTTTCGCTTAGCTATATTTTTTTTAGAGAAACTGGAACATTTGATGTTTTGTGGATCAAAAGCCGGAAAGATAAATTTTTCACCTGATAGAATACCTTATAAACCCCATCCTAATAGTCTGATTAAATGCTAGTTTGCAAATTCAGTTGAATGAACAAAGGTTTACTTGTTTGTATCAAATTTCAGCAAAATTGGATGATTTTCACTGGAATTATCATGTTAACAGACATAAGATGTTGAACAGATTGTGTTTTTAGCCTCTGGGTCCCATACCTGTATAGGTGTGAAGTGTACCATGTTGTACCCAGTCTCCTTGGCCACTCTCAGCTTGGCCTCCCATGTGTCTAGTGGTCCCAGCAGCTTGGCAATGTAGGTAACACATTGTACACAGTCGAGAGTGATGTCTTCTCCACCAGCATTGAGTGTCGGCTCCACCAGGAAATAACCAGAACCTCGTCGAGTATCACTGCAACACAACGGATGTTGAGTGCTATGAAGGATCATTTTCCAATTTTGGTTTTAATTAGGGATTACAAGAAACAGAAACATGTACTACAAGCTAAGTTTTGTTTTAATTTAACTTTGACCCTTCACATCAAGGACTTTTTAGCAGTCATTTTGAACGGCATAATATAATCTTCACTTGCACCCACTCATGCAACTACAACTTAACACAATGTCTTGAAACTGTACTAGATGTGCTGTAAACTGGGTGACAAGCTGCTAGACCAATTACGCCAGGGCTTTGGGTTTCCTAGCACTGTTAACGAAGTGTGACATTGGTTCTGATAATTTTTTATCCGTGTAGTGTTGCCTCACTGGGCAGGAGACAGTACTGTTGATTGGTTCAAACGCAGTTAGGTCTAGTGTGCAACCAGAGCTTCCGGTAGAAGAAGCCAATCTTAATTATTGAAGCTGGAATTTTGTTCTTCTCTATTGATAAAATTTGCGTAGGTTGTCGTTTGATGTTTTATCATTTACATATTTCAACACAAAATGTAAATAAAAAAATAAAAAAAAACGAAAAAGAAAGAAAACTATATGTCCTCCTCTTTAAATGTAAAAAGAAGCAAAACAGGAGTTGTCAGCAATCCATATCAAACTCACTAATAATGTCAACTTCCACACAAGCAGGACAACGTTTATTAAAATGTGGGCCTTCCACTCCAACTAAGCCACACATTAGCAAGCTCAATACGGATCGCACATGTAGGCCTACGGAATTTGAACCAGGGCATGTAGAAAGATCCCAACTGAGGTAGCATGGCATTGGCCGATTGGGTCAATTGCCACTAATAGGACGACACTAGCGCTCGTAGGTTAGATTCTACTACTTGAGGGTCAGTAGGTTATCAGTACTATTTTTTGGGTGATCTACATAGTACATATTTCTGGGTCACCATTTTAAAACATAGATTCAGTATGGTAATCAAAGTAATGTAATAGAATCTTACACATGTAAGCTGGAATAACAAAACATTATGCAAACAACAAAAAATACTACCTGTCATTGTAGTGGAAGTAGTAATGGTAGGACCCTGGTGCACAGAGCAGCAGACGACAGTACTTGGTTGTATCGTCTGCCGTGCCACTTGTCCAGTCTAACTTTCGGTATTGCTTACGAGAGAATGGCTTCCCTTCCTCCGGCAGATTGGTGTAGACTGTGACTTTACGGCCAAACAACGTCGGACCGAGACGCAACTCTATCCACGAACCTGTGATAGAAAAACCTTCTTAAACAGTGTAAATATAAAATACAGTTTTCCAACAAGGATATTTTTGTATTTAAAACAGTTTTACTGAAAGAATCCTTGATTAAGTTTTTAGTCAGAAGTAGGTTTTTTTTTTAAATCTTAAACAATTATTTCAGTACTAAATTGTCTTTACATGGGAATACAAATATACAAACATATACATAATAAATATAGAACATTATCAAAACCACATTTTGCATCCAAACTGAAAGAGAATTTGATTCAAAAAGTGTATTACAAAATCCATACTTTTCAAAGATACATTTTAAGGCTTTACACTTTTTTTAGGAGAATTTAGATGATGGAACTTGGATATAAAATGATTATGTACCAGCTTGGTATTAACTTGGTTGATTACTGTGTCAGCCGTTGTGTACAATACTGCTTTGTCAATTGTCTGTTATTATTAAATGTAGTTGTAATTTTTTTCAAAAAAGATTAAGGCATAAATTAGGTATTTTTTTAGGTTTTTTTTAGATAGGATGCTGATTGCTGATGTTGTTTAATGTATAGTTGTACCGGTATCTAAAAAAAAAGATATACTTAAAAGATGGTACAGTATATTTATAAATACAGTAACCTGATTTTGTATTAAGCAATTTAGCTTCATCACTAAGACAAAGCAATAAAACAAACATTTTATAATCATACAATATTTTTTCAATACAGTAAATTGAAACACTATTCTTAAACTACTAGCCAATCAAAGTATACATTTTTCTGTTTAATTTGATTATAAAAAGATAAGAATAAACACAGTTGTAGCTAACAAAAATATTATACTTTAAAGCATAAAATATTTTGTTATAATAAAATGTTTATTGCTAATTATAATTTTTTATACATGATTTTTATGACATGATAAATCCATCAAGTAAAATTCATATTAATAACCTTAAATAAAACAAATTCAATAACAAATTAACAATTAAAAAAAGGTTCTTTAATACAAACTGTATTTTTAAAACACAAAAGTCAAATTTTGGATCAAGGCCAAATGTTTTGACAGATCAAGTTTTGTTGGCCAAGGTTAGTACTCCTACGGCCTTCAAAGGTTATCTGCCCTCAATTGTTGAAATTAATGCAAATGCGTCAATTAGATAAACTAATGACTCGGTTATATTTGTTAGTTAATAATACCTTTGATTACGCATAGGACTTTCAACCCCTATAGCTGGTTTTAGGGTGAAAATTAACATAATTGGTTTTGGGCATCTGACAGTGTGCTGCTATCGATCATGGTTTTGCAGGGATTCACAAATTTTTTAACCAGGCTTAACCAAAAAGACAATTATTTATTGTAAAGAGTATTTATTTAATCATCTATACCATATCAACAATAAAAATATCAAAATTAAGAGCGGAAAAATAGTCTTGATAGTAGTACACGGTAGTGATTCCTTGAACTACAGTACTCAATAGTAATGCCATAAAGTCACCAGTTTTGTAATGGCTGTTTGTTATAAAGTATAATGAATTAAAAGTTAAAGAACCAATAGCAATTGGCTTTTTACTGAGCAGTTAAAATTATGTTCAGCATTGGTTGAACGATGTCAGATTAAAATATGATCATTGATATTTTATGAAAACTCATTGGCAGAAATTATAACACAATCACAAAATGATGTAATTGTACTTTAATCCTGAGCTTCGTTCATTCTTCTTAACTATTTTATATTTAAAAATACATTACACATTCCTCATTTCACAACACATATTATTCTACGTTTAATGTTTTATAAAAATGTCAAATGAGTGTCCAAATATTGAACTACTTTACAGAGCAGTGTAGAATTATTCTTGTACAGATGGAGAAATAGGTTAAAAGCTTTATAATTCAACTGCCAGAATAAACAACCAGCCTTCAACAAAATTTTATGACATCTTAAAATCTCTCCAGCTGCTAAATTTATCTGTGCTACCCAAGCAAACTAGAAATATTTATAGCCTCGTTCACAAGGGGCAAGTTTACAAGCTACTCGCCAGCGTGTAAGAAGTCGGCGAGTGCGCTTATATTCGTTCACACGGAGCTTGTCCACTCCCCAACTCTCCAACGTGTAGAAAGACGCCGGTGAGTTGGCGAGTGTGCTTGTAGTTGTTCACACGATGCTTTTTCCACTCGCTCAGTAGCTTGGTTGAACCAAATCCTCCGACCTCTTTGAATAACATGTGCACAAACACAAGCAACTGTGTTCAAACTGGGCTGCTTTACACGCCTACTCGCTCAAAAGTCAAAAGCTGGCGAATTGGCGTGTAAAAAAGTAGCCGCAGAGTCAACTTTTTCCACAACGTTTTTACAGGCAGCTTTTGAGCGAGTACGGCGTTCACACTAAGCTATTTTACTATCTGCGTGTAAAAAACCCGGCGTGTAGCTTGTAAACTCGCCCAGTGTGAACGGGGCTTATTAGAAAAAACTAAAAAAAAAAACATTCATCACTTGTAAGTAAACAATCCTACCTTTATCCAGGCGGAAGACGGAAGTTTCAAGATGTTCTCCATCATTAAGAAGAAAAGTCCGAATGGTAGGTTCTGCCATGTCAGCTCTTGATGAACTGGAAAATTAAAAAATTATGAAAATTTGTAGTCATTTAATAAAAAACTTATAGACTTGCAACGTTCAATACTAAACTTGTTTTAAAGTGTGAAAACCAAAAATCCAAAAGTTAGCTATTAAAAAAGTGATACTATTTTCCAATTTTTGAAATTGATAAACAAGATAGGTTGATCTAGTTATTATAATGCAAAAATTATGTTCTGGATATAGGCTAATGCAGAAATTATGTTCCAGAAGCCCGGTTCAACTACATTTGACATCAAAGCCTCTTAGCTGAGTGATAATGCCGTGACCTAATACAGTAGAACTCCAATTATCAGAACAAATTGGGACCGTACCACATTTAGATAGCCAAACATTTGGATAGACTAGTTTGATTTTTAACAAAATTAAGGTACGGTTTTTGATATAAATTAGGCCAAGCATTTAATTTTTAAAAACGAGCCAGCATACATTTTCTGATAAAAAAATTCTTGCTTTTGCGGCAATTGCTGAGAAAAATAGTGATTTTCTGTGACCACGAGCGACGATGATGATGTTTACACAATCCTGGGAGATATTAAAGATTTGGCCATGATCACAATGTTTCCGTGACTGCAGGAATTTATGACAACGTCTACACAACCGCAGGAGTTGTTTATAACCCGATAACAGCTTCTGCCTGCTTTAATAATTCTTATTTCTGTAGTTTTAGGTATTTACACTATTATATTGCTATTCTGTAAGCAATTTGGAGTTCTACTGTAGTTTGGAGTTTAGTTCAATATGTAGGTCCACCTATCTAGAAAAACAAAAAGAGTGGTTTCTCAGGCTTAAAGAACTTTCTCTGCACTATCCTTACTATGAATATCCTTCCACTAAAATCAATTTCAAACCTATCTTATCATACTTGATTGGTTCGAAAAATCTAGGAATGTAGTCAGTGGCGGATTACCTATTAAGCACGATAGACAGCTGCTTAGGGGCCGCAGACAGAAAATAAAAATACAATTGTTGTAAAAGTAGTTTTAAAAAACTTTAAATAAAGTAATAAATTTAAAGCCAGTTTCTTAAAATTTCCTGGGGGAGGGCCCCTGGACCCCCCGTCAACCTGGAGAGTATTCCATACCCCTCAAACCCCCCAGTAGATCTTGCCACCCCAGTTAAAAGTCAGAAATGACACCCATGGGGGGGGGGGCAAGTTTACTTGTGCCTAGGGGCCGCTGTGGTCATAATCCACCACTGAATTTAGTTCACAGACTTTGACAAGAAATATTTTTATTCATTATTTTGCCTCCTGAACTGTTATTCAAAGTATTATCTAGGTTACGTACCTTATACAGTCAAAACAGTTCTGATACAGTCACTAAAGGACGATGCGCATTTCAGAGCTTTTAAGCTCTATCTTCAGGTCCGTGGATACATTTGTCAATTATTCATCTTGCAGATTCGTCAAAATATTTAAAACATTAAAACACATAACACAAACACATAATTCATTACGTTTATACAGGTACTGTACATGTGCCGGCCGGCTATAGATCCCGAGTCGGGATCTACAGTCATCAGTACAGGTACTGTACATGTGCCGGCCGGCTATAGATCCCGAGTCGGGATCTATAGCCGGCCGGCACATGTACAGTACCTGTATAAACGTAATGAATTATGTGTTTGTGTTATGTGTTTTAATGTTTTAAATATTTTGACGAATCTGCAAGATGAATAATTGACAAATGTATCCACGGACCTGAAGATAGAGCTTAAAAGCTCTGAAATGCGCATCGTCCTTTAGTGACTGTATCAGAACTGTTTTGACTGTATAAGGTACGTAACCTAGATAAATATTTTTAGAAGACAATTAATACTTAAAAACTTTACAGGATAAAAACAAAGTATGATATAAAACTTATGAACTACCGGTACCCATCAGTTTTTAATGTTATTGTACATTTAGTAGATTCACATTTTTAATAAGTATAATTAGAACATACGTTTAAGGTTAGTGTATTATCCATTATGTATAATTAATAACATGGATTAGTTATTCACACGTTGAGTGTTAGGTTCCATTTCCCGCATTCAAAATGACATAAAAATATATGCTTGAAAGTAAAACAATATACTTTAATTAAATGAAAACATTACAATCTAACTGTATAAATTGAGACACATAAAAAACACATTGAAAAAGCCCTTAACCAACAACAACAAATTTGCCTTGAATTCACCTTATAAGTTGTTGCTTTATACACATCTTTCTGTTTCAAATAAAACTACAAGAAAGCATTCATTCACCATGATAGAATGTAACAACTAAAATATTTAATTCTTAAAACCCCAACAAATTTAGTTTCAATTAGGCCTATTACAAAATATTTGAAAGTAAATTAGTCATACAAAATATTAAAAATTTCTTAAATCTTTCAATTTAGTCATTAAAATATTAATACAAAAATATGTTAAACAATATTATAATATTATAATGTGACAAATTTTAAATACATAAAATACTTAATTACATGTTGATTTAATTTATTAAAATAGTCTAATAATCTCAAATATACTAAAACAAATCGCAGTAAAAAAAAAAAATCAATTAGCCATGAAAAAGCCATGGTCATAAACATATATTTAGTCAAAAATATACAGCTGCAGCCAATTGAACCATAGTTCTTATAACTAAAAATGTATATAAAGATTTCAAAAAATTAAACTTGTTTCATTCAAGTTTTAATATGATTCTTAAACAACAAAACAATTTATAGCTAACAATTCTACAAAAACAAAATAAACATTAACACATATTTTGATCAAAAATAACTAATGAAAGACTGCAATCACTAACAACAAGAATGCAAACAAAAACAACAATACCGTGATTTCACAATAAACAATCCAGGTCCAATGAACAATGAATTGGAATTGATGAAATTGATAGCACCTACTGGAACCGGCATCATATTTGACAAGGCCAAACACAAATCGTAAAGGTTACATGCCAAACTGTTGCCCTGTTCTTATCTATTTTGGCTTGGCTGTTGGCTGTTGTTATCACGTTAGCAACTTGATAGCGTTATTTACTGAGACTTCAAAGGCGAGGAAATAATTAGTGTTACCTGATGTTGAGTAATGCCAACTATCTAAATGATACTAACATGTGTATTTATCAATAACCTTAGTCCTACGACAACTAGATAAACCATACCTTGACGAAGAATAGAGACGTTATACGTACTGTAAGTATTATTTTAATACTTAATTCGTCAATAACTTGGCCTTAGTTTAAATTCAAATTTATAAACTGTCCAAGCTGTATTCATGAATGTGATGATGCAAAATTGTTATTGTAAAAAAAATATGTCTCTTTTACTAAACATTTTTATTATCAACTCACTTATCTTGAAATGCAGCTTATTATGAAGTGTACTGGATCTAGTTAGATCAAAGAATAAGTAAGTGTGACATTTAAACATTAAAACTATAACCATAGATAAACACACTCCCTTAGTAGATTTCTCATCCTTATGGAACAGCTAAAGCCAATTTTTTTGTCAGTTCTGTCCAGTGCACTTTAGAGGTTGTGTTTTGTTCACAATTATTTGTTTCTTGTTGTTTCAGTAATTTAAAACCTTGTTTAACTAAACAATATGATCTAATCATAAACAATCTCGTCTCCAAGTTATATAAACAAACAGTAGCCTAAAGCACAAATCATGAAATTAACCCTAAAATAATAGAACACAGTTTCTTTGAGACTAGCGATCAGTGTCAACGGACATGAACTAGACATGAAAAACGAGCTTCAAAATCTACAATGGGATGAGAAGCCTACTCGTGTTGGTTAGTCTATGTTATAACTAAAAAGTATATCTAACACAATATGATGCAATTTAAAATTGCATTTCCAATTACAGTCAATGATTGATTATAGTGCAATATTACATTAATTACAGAACTTGTATAAAACTATTGACTTTTGGATACTATGTTAGACATATCATCTATATGTGTACAATGTGTAGGGCCTAATAGCTGTAGAATTTTTGTCATTATTTTAAAATATAACATAGTTAAATAAGCAAATACCAGGGAGAGCTTTGGTAAAAATTGTATTCCTCTTCTCTATCCCTCTTTAAGTTAGTCCTTGACACTATGATAATTTATGTGATAAAAATATGCTGCATTTTAATACAATTATTGAGAAAGCTTAATGAAACCCTATTAATTTCATGTTTAAACTGGCTACAGATTTAATAAGGGAATTGAGTGTCTAGTCCTATCCAAGTCAAAGGTTAGACTGACTGATTATTTATCAAAAAACTTCAAAGGTTTTTCAAATTAATAAAAAAAAAAAAAATTGGTTTTAATACAGTATAAGTTTCAGATTTTTTATGTAATAACTAAGGCTAGTAATCTTTTAAAAATATTGTTAATGAACCATACATTTTGACTCAGTCATACGCAAGTCATAGTCGTATGCAAGTAATGTTCAAAGTCGAATTACTGGCATAGAAATATTAAAAAGCTTGTTGTGGTTTTTTTATACATTAATAGCTCTTATATAGTGAAGTATTATGGGGCACACATAATAACTTAATGACACCTAAATACAAAACCACATTTCTATCACATAATTACAAACCAAATTCCAAAAACAAATTATGTAATGTGGTACCTACCTAAAACTAACTAAAAACAGTTTAGTATAAATTCAAGAAGGTTAAATGACAAATCTAATTACCACAGTTTCCACAAAGTGTAATAAACCAACGGAACGACCACAGCGACCATAAACTGGACGTAGTCACTGGACACTTGAGCACTCGAGTTCTGCACTCGACAGACTGTGACAATTGCTGGGAAGAACAATGTGACACTCGATAGCACAAGTCACGCTGAGTGACTTGGGTTAGGTTACAGCCCTTCCTTGTATAAAACGTTTAGTTTTACAACAGTAAGAAAAAATATGCACAAAATATGTTGGTACATTTTGACAATATATTTACTGAATATTTATTTTGGGTATTGCGTGTCCAGCTGACGTGTAACAAGACAGCTTTAGCTCCGAAGATAAAATGTGTCAGTTGAATATTTTCAAACTAAACAAATTGTTTTATGTTAAGCGATAAGTTATTTGTAAAACTAGTGCAATGGCAATTTTTGTAACGGGAGCAAACCAGTTAAAGGAGGAACTTGGATCACAAATGGTACATTATATTTTATCAAGTTATAGCATGAGGGCAGGATGTGTATGGCCGAGCTGTACAAGTATTTGACAAACAATGCCATTGCCAAGTTCAAAATCGGCAAACTAAAAATACTATCCATCACTTACATACTTTTAATTATCTTCATAGTACATAATAATTACTTTGTTGTTTGAACTAAAACATTGTTAATTGTGTTTATTTATATTATTTCTGTACACATGTAAGAATGGACTTAATTTTCATACAGCCCATTTCCTGTTGATTATTCAATTAAAATTAAACTTAGTCTAAATTTTGTTTGGTTTCAGTTAAATTTGGAGAAATTAGCTGTTTTGCAATCTACCTAATTTGAGGGACCAAAATGTCACTTTGTATGACAACTGACTAAATATATTTTCATGATAAATAAATGGTCCTCACTGTTCCCTAACAAAAAACATAAAATGCCATTGGCAGGGTACTAAAAAAATTGAAACAAATTAAATTAGCGTTTTGCTCATTGTGTTAACACTACAGGGAGAGTATCAATCAAAGACACAATAAGCACATCAGTCTAATGGCCAAATTAACACTTTTCTTTGAAAAAAAAAACAGACAATTAATGAAAAAGAAGCTGATACAAAAACATTATTTTACATTATAAAAATACAAAATTAGATTGAGTAACTTGGTAAAAAGATTAACTCTATTAATGTTACTGTTGAACATTATCAAAATGTTGTAGATTTGAATTTTATGATAATGACCTTATAGCTAGGAATTTACATTCTAGCTAGGAGGTCCATAGAAAGCACTTTTAGGAAAACGGGTAAAGCTAAAGGTGTTTGGGTGCTTTGGTGAAATTGCCAATCTTGAATTGTTTTTCTACTGTGACAAGGAATTTCTAAAGTCTAACTTCTCCCCATCACTAGCATCTTTGGCCTGAGGAATATCTCCGAAAGCGAACTTTGGCCTGCTTTCTTCTTCCAGTAATGACCAAAATTGTGCGTTTTATTCTTTTCCACTGACGTGGGCCCTCTAATGGGTTAATAAACAATATTTATCAACCCTCTGCTCATGAAATATACCAAAACAAACCTCAGATTACACAATAGAATAAGAATTACCCGAATTACCCCAAGTCAATTAACATAAGCTACAAACATACACACATTTAATCCCGTTAATACAACCACGAACTGAACATTAAATCCTCTACCTGTAAAAGTGCCCTTAGTTAGCTTACCTACATTCCATTTCTTTGATTTTTTTCTTGTATCCAAATAATGATAAAAACCGATAACACAGACACTGAAAGCCTCTAGCTACTCTTGACACAAATTTTTGAAATTCAAACCTTCTGGAAAGTCTTGAGATGTTAGTGCCCATTCCGACGGGAGGAACTCAGCATTCGATTTGTAGAGCGACCAGCAGGCTGAACAAAACAACACTACAAAGCTTATGTGCAACTTAAGTAATGTGTTTACAGTAAGCCTCACTCTTGTGGATGTGGACACCTTGGGATTTAAACCTTGTCAGGAAAAAAGCCTGAACCATCAGTTTATAAATGGAAGAATAAGTTTCAAAACCACACAATATGTGAAGGTTGAAGAAAATTTGTGAATTGCTGAACTAATCCATTATATTTTGGGTACTGAAGTAGACATTTCATCCATATAGACCACGTAGCCAAATTTTTATTCAAACAGATCATTGTTGATTGCAGGCCCGTTTTTGACTATGTTAGCGCCCTAGGCACAACTAATAGTTGCGCCCCTTTGCAAAATTTATAACAGGGTGACCACCCACCGGGAAATTCAGGAATTATGTGTGAATTTTGTATTTCTACCTTGAGTTGTCAATTTACGGCGATGGCGCATGACAGCAGTGACATTTCCGTGACCGCGCGAGACGATGATATTTCTCCACTTGTCCGCCGGAATAGTCCGAATTTTGCCGCAATCGCGGGATACGGACGATGATGATGTATACAACCGCAGGAAATAATTAACATCTTGCCGCAATTGCAGGAGACGGTTACAATGTCTACACGACCACAAGGGATTATCAGTTTACCGCGATCGTATACATATACAACCGCCATTTCTTTTTATTTTCCAATTTTTTGGCGCCCCCCAAAAAAACAAATTGCCTCGCGCCCTAGGCACGTTCCTACCGTGCCTATTCGGTAAATCGGCCCTGGTTGATTGAGCCAATCACAGAGTGTGCTGGCAATATTGCATTTTCGCCCTTAGTTTTTTACCGGTTATGTGACACAAAAGCTGCAATTGTGTACAGTTATCTGTCTTTAAAGTTTGGTTAAAAAGTTTGCATATTTAAAGGAAATCAATAACTGACATCAGCAGACTTTATCGGCTACGGTAGTTAATTCATACATCAATTTTCATGTTGACACAGGCTACGCTGTAACATGCAATGGGATGTCTACTTACTTACACCAATAGTAAAAAATTATCTATAAGTATTAAAGAATACCCCCGCCGCAGCAAACCTGCAGACTAAGCAAATTTCCATTTGCCTAATTCGATTTATGTTTTTGAACGACATGCTTTTAGGCGAGGTGTTAACGGACCTTGATGCCGTGGACGATTTTGTGTTGTATTATGTGTGTTTATGTGTTTTGACGAGTCCCGGACATCACAAACAAAAATAAAGGTGAGTGAAGCCCACAAAAATCTACGTCAATAATTTGATTTATACTAAACTGTCTCCTTAAAAATATCACATTAATTTATTTCCTTTAAAATAGCATTAGTTTAATGAGTACTCTAGGTTTTGATGCAACAGGGAGGCTAAAAAGTGTTTTTTGTAAAATTTTAATAGTTTAGTATGAAATAAATGCATTTTCCAAAGTAAGCTCATTAAAATAAGTGAAATTATGATTGAACTTTTTTTCCATTATCTCTGGTGCGTGTGTTGTAACCGTTTCTTATAGTAGAATTTTAAAACCCAAATTATTCTCTCCTATATTCTCACCCCGTAGCGAAGCACGGGCAGAGCAACTAGTATCAAATAAGAGTAAAGGAGTATAACATTCGTTAGATGAATATGTTTTTGCCTTGTTTTCTATGATATATGCTATAACCAAAGTATGATTACCGGTACATAATAAAAGAAACATGGTTCAAAAGCACATGGTTATCTGAATCATTTTAAGCCTAAATCAAACTGATCCAAATGAGAGGGAGACAACTTTATATTCTAATGTAGGCCTAATTGAGTGTGTGATTCATAGCCTATTTTAAAAGTTTTTTAACTCTGTCTATTTCTTTGCAGCAAGAATAATTTTATTTCCATTTTCTGAGAAAAATACTAAATCTTAAGTCAATTAATAAAAAAAGTTGTAAAAATGTACAAATTATCAATTTTTAATCACAGTACTTAGTTTTTAAAATTTTAATTACTCAAAAATTGTCCCTAATTGTTCAATACACTTCAAAATAAAGTATTTACACTAGGTAACATTTTTACAAGATTCAACTAACAACTTAATGATAACATTTACAATCTAATAGGTAAAGCTACGTACCTTAAAAACTAGTCATAATTTCAAACATTGTTGAAAACACATTAAATGTCTAGAGGACACACATATATCAGACTGAAATGTAGTAACTACAATTACAATCAGTTACTAAATTTAGCCTTAAGATAACTACAGCATTGCCCTTGAACTTTGCTGCATCTATCAGTATCGCCAACTTTTATCATTCATTTGGGAAGTGACAAATAGCTCATAGGGTGCTCACCTACTAATCGGAACGTACCTAGTTCAATCCTGAGAAAAGTTACTAGCTTTTTGATAATTCTCAACCAAATTCAGCGGTGCTTGATCATTTGGCTTTTCATAAAAATTGTTTGCTGAAAACAGACGAATAGAGTAACAGAGCTTCACAAGGCATTTCACTCCGTTCAGATCAAAGCACCGTTGTGTTCCTGTCTTAATAATAGTTATCACATAGACAAGCTCAAAGCCATTGGTGAATGGCAGTGTTCGGACCCAAACTTCAAGGAACCCTCTGTTTTTTTTTGTTAATTTGTTATTACCATCAATATGGGGACACAACTCTGTATTACCACCTCCTCTGTATTTGAAAGATGAGCGAAGGATGGGTTCGAATGTATTGACACTTTGTGAAGCTTTGTTTATTATTAAGAAAAACTGTCTGTGTCTTTAACCGATTCAGTTTCAAACTATCAATATGCTGTCTTTTCTCAGGGTCAAACAGTGAACCTTCTGACAGGCTAGCAATATCTGGTTTACTAAAGCTTGTTTAAGTTTCACTTTTCTAGATCACAAATAAATAAGGTTAGGTCTCTCGGAAAGTGAGAAGAACTTTCTCTTTTTAGAAGAAATCTTTCCGAAAGACCATACAACAATGGCTTGGTTCAACAATTAAGTCATGAACTCGCTACCGTAGTGTATAGCCACTGATAAGCTTTAGATCACTCTTTTGATTCATGAAATTTGGGTTATCAAGTTCAACGACAAAGTTTAATCACTTGTTACAACATTCTAAGTACAGTAACCTACTTCCAATTTACAAAAGAATATCAGAGTTACAATATTTCAAGCAAATAAACTCTTATATTATTTGGTATGATTTGTTTGAAATTTAAAGCTAGCAACATAATAGCCAGTGGCGAATCTGGGGGGGGGGGTTTGAACCCTCCCTTTAACCATTAAACGTGATTCTTTACAATTAAAATGTTTTTTTTACGATTAAAAATATCTGTGAAATGTCTCTAAAGCCTTAAAACACGTGTTTACAGGTCTAATTTTGAGTATAGGCTACCACTATCACTTAACAATAGGAAGTTTCAATTTGCTCAATACGTTATACATTTAACTTTATAGCAGGTAGCCAAATGACTAGATCTAATACTAACACATTAAAAAACATAACTGTTAAAGATTTTTTTAACAAGCTGCATGAATTGGCAAGGACCTGCACACCAAAAATGTTCAAATCAATGTAACCGATTGGCTTTTAGACAATCCCCTTGTACAATGTATGAATATTTTAATACATGTGCAAGAAATTAGGTTTTAGTTGTATAGATGTGTGACAATCTGTTTTAATTGTGCATTAGTTATAGGACATGATGTACATGATCAACGGCAAATAACTTAAACTATTTCATAGTAGAGGACAACATTTCAATGTAGGCCTACAAATCCACAGGTTATTGATTTTCCTTGACAATCTATCTTTGTAGTGATATATCTATTCTGGATTTGATTCACCAACGAAAATAATTATCTTAGCCTAGTTAGTATGTTTGGGATTTGACAACACATGGTGTTATAGGCTAATTTGTAATTGCTATACACATACACAATTGCCGAACATGGTACACAAAGTGAAAAACTTGAAATAACCCACATACCAGGATACAATTTAATTTCTCACTTCTCAAGAAGATCTCATAGATGGGGTGGGGTGGCTATCTACACCATTGAAGCAATGCCACTAAATGTGGAAAAAGTAAACATGGAAGCCTATACAGATGAAATGAATATTGAACTGGCGGCAATAGAAATTAAGGAAAGGAGAAGAAACCTTCTAATCTTGGGACTCTACAGACCACCCAATGGGGACCTACAAACTTTTTTCTCAAACCTGCAAAACCTACTACACACTCACTCAAAACCCCGGAAGAAGATCATCATTATGGGCGATTCAAACCTAAATATAATCGACAAAGACAAAAGCAACATCAAAGATCTTACTGCTCTACTAAATATTTTTGACATAAGAATAGAAGAACTGCCCCATACCAGAATTACACACACTACAAAAACTAGTATAGACTGCTGCTACACAGATATAAACCCTGCAAATATAAAATCCGAAACCACACAAAACTTTATTTCCGACCATCTCGGAGTTTTCTGCAAAATAAACCTTTTCAATCCTAAACCATCAAATATAAAAAAATACTCAAGACAGATAACAACTAAATCCCTCTCTGATGTAAAACATGCACTATCAAACGTGGACTGGTCAATAGTTTATCGACAGAAATGCACAGAGGAAAAATATAATACATTCCTAAGAACCATCGTGGAAATCTTGCAGACACACATGACAAAGACCTACAAAACCTTAAAAAATGGCAATAATGGCATAAACGAATTCATTTATGATGACAATATAAATGAACTACGACAGGAGATGAAACACTCACACCTAAAATACTTAACAACAAATAGGCCTGAGGATAAAGCTACTTTTACAGAAACAAAAAAGAAGTATGACTCCGAAATAAAACTAAAGAAAAGGTCAAAAATATCATCTAAAATTGAAGAATCAAAAAACAAAAATAAAGAAATCTGGAGAATCATAAATAAAGAAAGAAATAAAAACCCATACAACAGAGAGAATATTATGCTTAGGGAGGGAAATGAAATCATCTCGTGCCCAGAAAAAATAAGTGAACTTTTTAACGACTATTTTATCAAAATCGGAGGCTCTGCTGAAAACTCCCACAACAACAGGGAAATATTGCAAGAACAAGAAGAAATGCAAACCCCTCAAGAACCCTCACTAGGAATTCTATCAAAATTCAATACAATAAACAAAACCGAATTAAACAATATATTTAAAACTTTTGATTCAAAAAATGTCTGCGGCTTTGATGAAGTCCCCAACTCTGTTATAAAATACTGCAAGGAAGAACTAATAAACCCCCTACTAGACATCATAAACAGTTCAATCCTAAATTCACATGTACCTGATAAAATGAAAATAGCAACAATTTACCCAAAATATAAAAAAGGAGAAAAAAATTTAAAAACAAACTACAGGCCAATCTCAATACTACCCACCCTCTCAAAATATATAGAGAAAATAATTTTTAACCAGATAATGGACCATCTAAACGAAAACAACCTCCTAACTGAAAAACAACATGGTTTTAGACCTCAAAAATCCATTACTACAGCAGTATTTCAATTCTGTGACTTTATAACAAAAAACTGGGAAGAAAATAACAATGTCATAGGAATATACCTGGATATAGAAAAAGCATTTGACAGTCTAAACTGGAAAACCCTTATAAGTAAATTAAATGCACTTAACATAAAACAGGACGCTCAAAAATGGATCAAAAGTTATCTCACAAACAGAAAACAACAAGTAGAAATAGGCTATATAAAAAACAACATTGAACTTAAAACCAAATCTAGACTTCAAGATATGACCCAAGGAATTCCACAAGGAAGCATCCTCGGCCCCCTCCTATTCATCATATATATGAACAATTTTCCAGAAAACCTGCCAACAGGAACGGACTGTATTATTTTTGCCGATGACACCACAGTACTAATCCCTCGAGATCATCACCTCATAACTAACGGAGGAATAGAAAATATTTTAAAACATATCGAGCAATTCTGCAAATCAATAGACCTTAGAATCAATAACGCCAAAACTGTTACAATAGAATTTTCCTGCAAATCAAACCCAAACAAAGCCCCTCTAGGTAACTCAAACCCAAACAGATCAGACCATACCAAATTTCTGGGAATAGAAATAGACGAAAACCTAAAATGGGAACACCATATTAATTCACTGCAACAAAAACTATCTACATCAATCTATGCTATGAGAAGGATAACTAACCTAACCGACTTTACTACAGCTAAAATTGCCTACCATGCACTCATAGAATCACACCTCCGCTTTGGAATAGTTGCCTGGGGCGCAGCAAGTACAGACCTTTTCCAATCAATTTTCATATTACAAAAGGAAGCAATAAGAACCCTAAATAATACCCACTATCAAGAACATTGCAAACCATTTTTTATAAAAAACAAAATTCTCACATTAACATCCTTATACTTGATTGAAGTGATAACCCAAACAATGAAACTGAATCCCACTAAACGATCAGAAACTCATAACTACAACACCAGGAAAAAAACCGATCTGAACCTACCGCAACACAGATTAGAAAAAACAGCAAAAACCCCAACATATAGAGGGATGAAACTTTACAACTTATTACCACATCGGCTAAAAGCTATTACAGACCCGAAAAAATTTGCTAACCAACTGAAAAACTATCTCCTCGAACGACCCTACTACAGTTTAAATGAATTCCTGGATGACCATACTTTTAACAGAAGACAATAAAAAACCAAGATACAACTAAGAAGATAAAGATAAAGAAAAAGATGACGCCTCCCCCATTCTTGATGACTGCGGAGGAGAAGAACAGCAGTAAGCAGTAAGCAGTATAGTCTATGTGGTTGGGTTAGTTTAACTTTTGCATTGATAGCATAAGCATATCAACAGGCTTTGATTGGATTTTTTGTGTGAATAAGACGGAGTTGTTATGTTAATAGAGTAGGCTAAGTTAGTAACTTATGCTATTAATAAATGGGTAGACTTCCGTATTTGTTGGCACAAACAACCGAATGAAAATATTGATCGATATATCGAATGAAACAGGCCCGTTTTTGACCCTGTCAGCGCCCTAGGCACAACTAATAGTAGCGCCCTTTGCAATATACATATAACGGGTGTACCGACCGGGAATCATGCGGGAGTTTTGTGAACCAGGAATTGTGTGAATTTTGTATTTCTACCAGGAGTTTTCAATT